CCGACCTCTTCTTAAATCTAAACTTAATCTAAAAACCAAAATGTTATTGTATAATACAATGATCAGACCTGTCTGGTCGTATGGTATTCAAATATGGGGGATGGCCAAACCCTCAAACATTCGCCCCATCCAATCTTTCCAAAACATTGCCCTGCGTACTTTAACTGGTGCTCCATGGTACATGACAAACCTTTCACTTCACAACGRCCTCAAAGTWACTAATGTCAATGACTACGCCAAAATTCACTACCACCGTTTCCACTCCCAACTCAACTCCAGTACTAATCCTCTCATTAAAGATATGGCTTCACTTCGTATCCCAGGCAACCTCCCTCGCAGGCTCAAACGAAATTGGAATGGAGATCTCCTTAAGTGATCTAAATCCAACTATAAGTTCTTAGGTGTTACCAATGGGTGACTTCCTTAAAAGTTGTTGTTTTAAAAAAAAAAATTATGTATATATTCTATATCAAAATTACTAAATGTGCTTGTTGTACAGATTGTTTTTGAAAATAAAAATAATAAAAATAAAAATTCTGTGATTACAAATGTACAACATTCAAAACAAAAGTGTTATTGATTGAATGGCGAACATGGAATGCTTAATTATTGGAAATTAACATTATATTGTATAATGCTTATGGTAATTAACTWACAACCTACTAATATCATTGAAAAATAATAATAAGTAGGTACTGCCCATACGGACGTAATGGTAATATGTCGAGTGGCGATTGCTGTGCATAAATGCATATAATATAGGATTGTTATTTTAAAATAATAATAATATGAATTAATTTCATTAKCAGTTTGACCAAAGCACTTAGATCCTAGTGCTACAATTTTAAAATAGTTCAATCTGCATAGTTTCAAATTATTTTAAGTCGTAAAATGGGTGATTAGCACGGGCTAAGGTATTATACATATACTTTAGTCCGTAGTTGTTCATAATGGCATAGACGACATAGTGATTAGTTAAAAAAATAAATAATTTATATAATATATAAAAAAATGATTTTTCCATTATGTTATCGTTTTATCAATTTCCGCATTTTTTGATAATATAATCGCAGAGTAACTTCATGGAATATTCTACGGTAACATTCTGTGAAGTAATCACCATGTTTTATCTACAACCGTGGTTATCACATTATCGCCATAATTCTGTGATACTATGTAGTAATAAATAATAATAATAATATCGTGGTTTTATAAAGTTGATGACCTCTTGAATCTTGCGCCATGACTGTAGTTGCTTTTTCGTTACTACTTCTTAACTATTAGCAAAAATCAGTTTTTTGCATCAAATTCTTACAAGGTTTTTAAAATCTCGATTCTTGACTAACTAGTTTTATCTAATATTTGTATCAACTTTCACTATGTACATTTTTGATTTTAACCATTTTAACTATTATTAGGTACATTTTATTTTACAGGAGTTAAAAGTGTACAAACAATATAATAATTTATTACATACAATGTTTACTGATTATATATTTACACCCAAGCTTTACAAAGTATATACTGGAATTCGGAGTAACGATGTAAGCATAAACTTAAACTTGTATTTAGTGTAACACTTATATAATAATACAAGGTTTATTTAAATTTATCATACACTCATAGCCTTTCAAAATAAAAAGCTTGAAATATCTATAAACAGTTTAGTGATGTACTTACCAATTTGTTCCTTTTTAACTGTACAAATTAAATTTGATCATTTATTGAGTTATATTTACAGAATTTGGTAGCTTAGTCACTAATATTTTTGATTACTATTTTTATTTAAAATATACTGTACCACCTACCTATTTTTATATATTTTAATATCAAACTTTTAATTATGTATCCGATACGTCATTACTGAGTTTCAAAAATAATTAATAAAAATAAATATTAATACTTTTCTACATTTTTTTTTTTATGTGTGCAGTATTACAGTTATATTATTCACATATATTCTGTACCGCAACAGAACATGTAGCTGCTTGAATAAATTTGGTTCTGTACATCCCTAAAACACCTTGCCATAATGGAACTAGATCAGGTCTCAATAGCCGAGTATAGCATAGAGATGTCCAGAATCAGATCATTTTCTTGCTAAACAGAGTTTAGATTATTTTACAAGGTTCTCTTCTCTCTTGTTCTCTATAAAGTCTAAATATCTTTTTGGTAACCAAAAAAATTACTATTTAAATATTTTTTGTTTGATTTATTTACTGAGAGGTTTGTTAAAAAACAGTTAATATCATTTAGATGAGTTGATTAGTAATTACCTTGTGACTGTAACTTAAATTTAGTTTTATAATAATGTGTTTAAACTCTGTTGGAATGTCCAGTATTCTTTGTTAAAATGTAATTTTTGATTTGTGTCTTGAAATTTTTGAACTAACCAGTTTTTAATGTATGAGCTTTGAATAATTCATTTATTGATAGGAATTAGAATATATTATTATATATTTAAACAAATAGTATTAAATATATTTATTTATTTAGTTAGATAACCAATAAGCATTAATAAAGAGTTGTGAACATATTTGTAGATAAATTTAAATATAAAAAACATATCTCATACCTTCAAGATAATATTTTACGGTTTTTTTTATTATTAATCATTCTTAAGATATACCTCTTATAATATGGCAAATATAATTGTGTACTTATAATTTTAAATTCAATTAATCCAATTAATTTTTGTAAGGATTTGAAAATTAGTAAAATCATTTATAGAGTACTTTTTTAGATTTATGAGTTTAATTATTTCATATGATATTCTATGATTATATAATATTAATATTAATCAAYTATAATAATGGTGATGGTAAATCTGTTAAATAAGTAAAATAAAATGTTCTAGACTTACCGTCATTTTGTTATTAAAATGAATCCACTATAAAAAATTAAAAAATTGAAAC